CGCGCGCGCCATGCGGATGACGTCCTGGGCGGCGGGGGTACGGGTTCTTCAGCGTCTGCCTGTCTGCCCCTGCAACATGTCAGCACAAAGCCGGTACACCCTTGGGGTGAACCAGCGCTTGCTTCACTAGAGCAGCGAAAAACTTCATGCACTCAAAAGCAAAAGTTTTCGCAGGTCCGCGCGGACTTCTTGGATCGGAGATGGAGCCCCCATCCGTAGCGCGCGGGGCGCGCCAGGGACGGCGCAGGAGGCGCCGCAACGGGGGCCCAACGCCGATCAAAGACATCAGCGCGGACCTACGAGAAATCATGCTTATGCACATGCTCGTCCTTCGGTGGGCAAGGGGCGCAGATCGATGGCTCGACTTGAACTACACGCTGCGTTGGGAGTGCCGCTGCATCATGGAAGCAAAGAGTAGGGGAACGAAGAATGACGTAAGCATAACAACTCGGAGGTCCGCGCGGATTTCTCGGATCCGCGCTGGACCCCCCTATCTAGCGCGCGGAGCACGCAAGGGGCGGCGCCAGAGGCGCCGCCAGGGGGCCCCAGCGCCGATGCGAGGAATCTGCGCGGACCTCCGAGTTTTTTTGTTGATGTTTATGTCATTCTTGGTTTCCCTAAGAACAAGATGCGTCAGGCTGTCAAGATCACTTCTGACGCAGGGGTGCCACCCCTGCCTTCCTCGACCACCCCTTCTCGGCCCCCTGGGTCCTCGCCCCTCGCCCGCCCCCGGATCTGCCCTCCTCCTCCTCCTCCTCTTCCTTCTCCTCCTCCTACTCCTCCTCCCCCTCCCCCTCCTCCTCCTCCTCCTCCTCCTCCTCCTCTTCCTCCTCCTCCTCCACCTCCTCCTCCTCCTCCTCGTCCTCCTCCCTCCTCCTCCTCCTCCCCCTCCTCCTCCTCCTCCTCCTCCTCCTCCTCCTCCTCCTCCCTCCTCCTCCCCCCTCCCTCCTCTTCCTCCTCCCTCTCCTCCTCCTCCTCCTCCTCCTCCTCCTCCTCCTCTCCTCCTCCTCCTCCTCCTCCTCCTCCTCCTCCCCTCCTCCTCTTCCTCCCTCTCTCCTCTCCACCTCCTCCTCCATCCCTCCTGATCTCCCCTCCTCCTTCTCCTCCTCCTCCTCCTCCTCCTCCTCCTCCTCCTCCTCCTCTTCCTCCTACCCCCCCAATCGGTTGCATTTCCTGGGAGCCTCCCGTACCCTCCTGTCGGCTCTTGCGAATCGACGCTCGTCGACGCGAAGTCGACGCTTATCGACGCTAGTCGGCGCTGAATGAACGCTAACCGACGCTACATCGGCGCGATCTCATCGACTCCTAGACGCTAATTGACGCCAGTCGACGCGCTCCCATGATTTGCTACCGAACCCCCTCTCCACCCAGACATGCGATGTCAATAGTTTTTCCTCTCCAAGCTCCCAGGAAGTCACAGCCCTTTCCCCTACGGCCGGCGATTTATGCCGAGCTGTTCTTTGACGGCCTGGGGGCCTGGCGAGGGCCTTCCGAGGCCGGCCAGAAGCTTCCCGCCGTGATTTCTGCTCACGACGCGAGCACGTCTGGGCCACCACCCCTTCCCTCCAGTGAGGGGCAACGATCGGGGGGGACTGGGAGAAGGGGGGACACATCGGCCTGGAATCGGCGATGTATCGCCGATAGTGGCTCCGCACGCTCCTGGGCAGCCTGGGGCTATCGGGCCAATATCGGCGATCAGTGGGCAATTGGGTGTCGACGCATTCCCCCGCCATGCCTATTCGTGCGGGTGGTAATGGGGGACGACTAAAAATGGGGGGTGGATATGGGCGCCCTAAAGAGCCCCTTCAGGGCCCTTCTCTTCACACCCCATCCAAGCTCACCCCCGTTACCGCCCGCCCGACGTTAGAGACCTCCCAAATGGGGTCGGAGCAGATGGTGTCAGAGGATCGCGCCGCATTGCCGATGCATCGCCGATGCATCGGCTATGTGCCCGCGACGTGGGCGCTGCATCGGCGACGCCTACGCGGGGAAAACGACCCTCCGACCCCATCTACTTCGACCCCATCTGGGAGGCCTGGAGACCTCTCCCCCTGGGCGGTTTGCGGCGTGTAGGCGTCCGCGGGGAAGAAGGAGACGGCCGAGGGGCTCCGAATGACCTTTGTGGGCGTTGTTCTTCACCCCCCAGTCAAGCTCACCCCCCGTTGCCGCCCGCCCGCCCTATCTAAAGGAACGAAAAATGACATGAACATAAAAACTTGGAGGTCCGCGCGGATTTCTCGGATCGGCGCTGGACCAGGGGGGCCCATCGCGGATCCGAGCAACCCGCGCGGACCTCTGAGCTGTGATGTTTCTGTCGTACTTCGCCCCCCTATAGCCTCCCCCCGGGCCCCCCCCCCCCAGGCGGTGTCCGGCGTGTAGGCGTCCGCGGGGAAGAAGGAGACGGCCGTCCCCTTGGCCCCGGCCCGCCCCGTGCGGCCGATCCTGGCAGGGCGGCGACGACGACGACGGCTACGATGACGGCGACGAAGACGACGAGGACAACAACGACGACGACAACGACGACGACGGCGACGTCTACGACGACGACGACGCCGACGACGACAACGACGACAACGACGACGGCCGTCCCCTGGGCCCCGGCCCGCCCCGTGCGGCCGATCCTGGCAGGGCGGGGGCGGGCGGCCGCGGAGGGCGGCCCGCGGCGGGCGGCCGCCCTCCCACCTCGGCGCTCGGCCTCAACCAGCTACGACGGCGACGACGACGACGACGGCTACGATGACGGCGACGAAGACGACGACGACAACGACGACAACGACGACGACGGCGACGTCTACGACGACGACGACGACGATAACGACGACGACGACGACGACGACGACGACAGCGACGACGACGACGACGACAGCGACGACGACGACGTCGTCGTCGTCGTCCTCGTGCGAGGGAGGGCTGGCAGGGGGTGGGGGGGGGTCCTGAGCCCTCCCCTCCCCTGGTTTGGGAACGCGCCCCCCTCCCCCCCCTGTCAGCAGCGGCAGGAAGCGCTCTTTCGGACGTGCCCAGCCCTTTCTCCACGCACGGCGACTATCAAACGGAGCGCTCTCTCCCAAAAAACACATTGAGAGTTTTGCAGCATTCTTGCCAACGGAAGCACCGACGTTCCTGCAGTTGGCATTTTTGAAGTACCAACATTCCTGCGAGGTCTCCTCGTGCGATTCCACTCCATCATCGTTTCTCGTCCGCGTCATCCTGGTGATGACAATCTCTCCGCGGCATCGATGGATCAGCGCTTCTAGACGCCTTCCTCTGATTCGTCCGCGCAAATCAGCGGCAAGCCGGGGGGGAGTGAGAAGGAGAAGACCTTCTCAGGAGTGAGAAGGAGAAGACCTCCTGAGAAGGCTTGGAAATCCCCTGGCCTTCCGAGAAGTTCTGTAAGCCTTCCCAGAAGACACAGCAAGCTTCTCAGAAGGCGCGAGGCTTTCTGAGAAGCCCCGCCGCCTTCTGAGAAGGCCTTCTCGTTCTCTCGTTCTCCTCCTCCTCCTCCTCCTCCTCCTCCTCCTCCTCCTCCTCCTCCTCCTCCTCCTCCTCCTCCTCCTCCTCCTCCTCCTCCTCCTCCTCCTCCTCCTCCTCCCTCCCTCCCTCCTCCCTCCCTCCCTCCCTCCCTCCCTCCCTCCCTCCCTCCCTCACTCGCCGCCGAGCAAACGGATGTTTGAGTCTCGTTGGCGGTGTGTGACGCCCCGCTCGCTGACTCGACTCCGGGTACGATGCGCTGCACCACTGGGCCGCTCGCAGGCCCCCAGGACGGCGAGGACCTGATATGTTACGCGCGTGCCGGCACTCCGCTGGACCTCCCAGGAGCAAAAAAAAAAGGCCCAGCAGTTTGGGAGTTCGCAGCGCTCAAGGACGGCGAGCTCTCATTCGGATGTTGCGCAGGACGTCACGATGCGGGTCCCCCCGGCAGCCCTCGAAGGTGGCTACCGTTTTGCAGTCCGCAGCCCCCAGGGACGGCGAGGTTTCACTCTGATGTGCGTAGGACGCCACCATGCCCCCCAGCAGCCCTCGAAAGTCGCGACCCGTTTCGCAGTTCGCAGCCCTCAGGGACGGCGAGGTCTCATTCGGATGTGCGTAGGACTTCACCATGCTGGACCCCCCCAGCAGCCCCCGAAAGTGGCGACCGTTTCGCAGTCCGCAGCCCCGAAGGACGGCGAGGTCTCATTCTTATGCGCGCAGGACGTCATTATGCTGGACACCAGCAGCCCTCGAAATTTGAGACAGTTTCGCTCTTCGCAGCCGCCAGGGACGACTAGGTCTCATTCTGATGCGCGTCGGACGTCACTATGCTGGAGCCCCCAGCAGCCCTCGAAAGCGGCGACAGTAAGCAAGAACCCAACACAGGAGGGTTGGGAGCAAAGCAAGGCGTAGGAGGCCGGAGGGAGGAGAACGGGGAGGAGGAGAGGAGAAGAGACCCCACAGTGCTCTATTCAAAAACGAGAACCCGACACAGGAGGATTTGGAAACAATGGCCTGGCGAATGGCCCAAGCATGGGCAATTTTAAATGCCGCAAGGCAAGTGAATCAAAAGAAGGGGAACTCCCTATGGAGTCACGAACCGTGTGACGGGCGTGACGGAATCTGTCGCCGTGCGACTCCTGCCACTGGGACATTCGGTGGAACTTCCTATTATGAGGCCACGAACCGTGGGAAGGATGTGACGATGGTGCTGATGTTGATGCTTGCGATGCTGATGAAGACCACGCGGGTGATGTTGATGAGGCGGGTGACGATGATAATTATGATGATAAAGCTGTTGCTGCTACTGCTGCTGATGATGATGGTTATGATGAAGGCTGTAATGCTGACACAGATGGATGTGAATGGTGTTGCTGATGATGTTGAGGCGGATGGCAATGATGATGCAGATGCCGGTGGCACTGATGACGGTAACGCTGATGATGGTAATTATGACAATGGGGATGAAGATAAAGATGATGATGATGATGTTGATGATGATCATGATGATGATGATGATGATGATGATGGTGATGATGATGATGATACCGTTGTTGAGGATGATGATGGTGATGAGGATGAGGACTGCGATGATGATGCTGGTGATGATGATGCTGCTGCTGATGGTGGTGATGGACGCAGGGATGGGAGGAGAGAGGAGGGAGCAGCGGGAGGTTGGGGTGACACGGGGCGCTGACTGTTCAAACGATTCCCAAGACCACGGGATGGTTGGGACATATTCGCACAGGACAGAGCTTCTGCATTCCCAAACCCTCTCGCGTCATGAACAAATGCATCAAACGTTTGTTAGCAATTCCTGTTGGCCTTTGGGGGCCCTCGTCGGGCCTCCAGACCGTCAACAACAGATCCGGGCGACGGACCCAGCAATATGCAATTGTGAATACCGGAAGGCAAGTGGGACGAAGAAAGAGGGAGATCCCTATGGGGCCAAGAACCGTGTGAGGGGCGTGCCGGGCCGAAACGAGGGGGCGGCTGCCATGAGACTCCTGCCACTGGAGCAGTCGGTGGAGCTCCGTATGGGGCCACGAGCCGTGTGAGGGGCGTGCCGAAACGAGGGGGCGGCCGCCAAACGACTCCTGCCACTGGGGCCTTCGGCGGGGGCCACGAAGCGTGTGAGGGGCGTGCCGACATGAGGGGGCAGCCGCAATGCAACTGCTGCCCTGGGGCCTTCGCAGGAGCTCCCTGTGGGGCCACGAACCGTGTGCAGGGCGTGCCGAAACCAGGGGGAATGGACTTCCCTATGGGGCCACGAGGCGTGTGAAGGACGTGCCGAAATAGGGGGGCGGCCGCAATGCGACTCCTGCCCTGGGGCCTTCGATGGACTTCCCTATTGGGCCACGAACTGTGGTGAGTGGTGTGCCGAAATTAGCATTAGTAGAGCAGCAGCAGGAGCAGGAGGAGGGAGGAGGGGGAGGAGGAATGAGCGACGCGGGGCAATGCGTATTCAGGACGAAGACCCAACATCACGAGATGGCTGGGAGCTGCTCAGAGTGGAAAAGCTGGTAGACATCTGAGGGTTACGTCATCGGAGCCACGTCATCGGGGGTCTAGGTCTGTTCGGCGGAGCCACGTCGCGAAACATCCACGGACGTAGGGGCATGATCGCCCCCCCCCTCCTCTCGCATACTTCGTAATCCTCCTCCGAGTGTCCCCTCCTCCCCATGGCTCCCTCCCGCGCTCTGTTGCACCGTCCCCTCGCTCGTGATCTTTGCTCCAGTCCCTGCCGGACGCAGCCCGAACTTGCTCCCTGGGAGGTGCGAGACCTCTGGAAAGACTGGGGTGAACTGGGCTGAACGCCAGGGTTTGTTGCTGCTGGGCTGGCTGCGTTTCGGCAAAACTGCCCGGTCAGGCCAGCTTAGAGCTGGGCTGGCAGGCGATTGGCCTGACTGGCCGGAGGCCAGGCTGGCCGGTTTGGCTGGCTTGGCTGGGCTTGTTGGCCAGCCTGGCCCCCTGGCTGGCCGAACTGGTCGCACACATTGGCAGGCCGCGTTGTATTGTCGGCGGCCGGGGGGTCCTGTGGCGCAGCCAATTGCACCCCGTCTGAAGATTCGACGGCCCCACGGCGCAACCACCAGCGCAACAGCGACGCAAGCCACGCCACGCAAGGCGCAAGCACCGCGCACCGCATGGCACGGCACGATGGTGCGACCGCCGCGCAAGCAGTGGCGCAACCCATGGCAACACCTATGGGAACGCGCGTCCACGGCGAAGTCTGTGGCGCAGCTGGTGGCGCAACCCGTGGCCGCGTGGAGCCCGCCGCCGCCCGCCCGCGGGCGTGGCAGGCGGCAGGGGGGAGAGGAGCGCATGGGCCAGGGGAGAGCGGGGCGAGGCCGGAGCGAGGAGTGGGATGGGATTGGTCAGAGGACGGTCGTGTGGGCGCCTCCCCTCCCTCATCAACCTGCAACTTCCTGTCCTCCTCCTCCTCATCCTCCTCCTCCTCGTCCTCCTCCTCCTCCTCCTCCTCCTCCTCCTCCTCCTCCTCCTCCTCCTCCTCCTCCTCCTCCTCCTCCCCCCTCCCCGTCGTCCCCGGTCTCCTCGTCCCCGGTCTCCTCCTCCTCCTCCTGCTCCTGCTCCTGCTCCTCCTCCTCCTCCTCCTCCTCCTCCTCCTCCTCCTCCTCCTCCTCCTCCTCCCCCTTCCCCCTCCTCCCTGAACGGCTGCAGCAGAGAGGAGTCCCCTTCCATCAGTTGGGGGGCAGGCAATTTCACTGACAGACGCCGACCAAGGTCAGGACTTCCTGAGCTTGGGCACCACTCAGCAGCTTTGGAAGAGGCTGGAGCCTGCCTGGACATTTTTGGGGGGGCGACAGGCATGGACACGAGTGACATTGATGTGGCCGGGTGTCCGCGCGGAAAAAAAGGCAGTTTCCTGGATGGTGACAAACGCCGCGGGGCAGGAGGGAGGACACAGGGAAAGAGGAGGTGCATGCGAGAAGCGACAACCGCGCAGCAGAGGAGCTCAAACAGCTTCACGCAGTCCAGGGGGGAGGGGGGGGCACGCTTGGGGGCCACGAAGGCCCGGACCGCGGCGATCACCACGTGGACTTCGGGCGGGAGCGCAGAAACCAAAGACCCAACTCAAGAGCTGGGGGGGGGCGCTCGGAGTCGGAGCGGCCTGACGCCCTGGAGAACCTGTCCACTGATGGGCGCGGGGTGAGCGCGCGTCATGGCGGCAGTTCCTGCTCCGTCGGCCTTGTGGACATCGTTCAGTGCACCGTGTGCGCGGTACACGGTGCCGGCGATGGTTCCAGTGGTGCGTATGAGGGAGGGTGAGAGTAGGGCGGGGCCGCTGACTCTCTCTCTAGAGCTGTGCAATTTTTCAAAAAAAAGGAGAAGGGGAGAGCAGACATCCCAGCGATGGCTCCCACAAGTGGCGCGAAAGATACACAGAGGAAACATGCGGGAGAGACAGACATGCGGACAGTAAAACCAAGCTGGGAGAAACATGCGCCGCTCGTCGGAAAAACAAATCGCACCAGGAATAAGACATCGCGGTGGCAACCTAAGCGGCCGCAGCCGAGTCCGGGCAGTGCGACCAAAACAGTTGCACCAAGAATCCAGGCATGAGGGAGGAGGGAGGAGGAAGGGAGCGAGGGGAGAAGAGAGAAACACAACATGCCGCAATGCAGTCGCCCTCGGCCTTCGACGTACAGTCAATGATAATGTGACCCAGGGCCTACCCAGCCGACCACGAGCTTTTTAACCTACGTATGGTCCTACTCGCGCTCCCACCGCTCCCGGTCCTCTTGCACGATAAGACGCCAGCAGTATTCGACGGACGAATTGCGTCACAAGGTGAAGTTGCCCGACGTGGAACATGTCCATTCCAGGGCAGCTGGGAAGTTGAAGACTGCGTGATCCTGAGAGGGCACAACTCAAGGCGAAAGACTGACTCTGCTGGCGTGCACACACAGCTGTCCAGCGAGGTACTGGGGAAACCAAGAGGTACCGATACAGACACTCCCAGGACCTCGCATGGGGTGCGTTCTGAATAGAATTCCGAGGCGAATCCAGCGGTGGCGACGAGGGCCTCCCAGGAGCCCCCAAAAAGGGAAAACGAGGGAAGGGTGCCGGTAAGCTACCGTTTCCTTCTCCGAGGTACTGGGGACTGGCGACCTCTCCGGGCAGGTCGGAGGGCCGCCTTGTCGATCCGATCAGCCAGGAGACCCCGGGATCGGGCGTGCAGGCCTCAAGGAGCAGCGCGCCGAGGGGAGGTCCCCGAAGGCCTGTGGAGGTCCCCGGAGGAGCCCCGAGGCTTCCACAGGAGGTCTCTGCGGGCCCCTGGGGCCACCAGAGTCGGGCGTTGGCAGAACCGGGTTTAGTGGGACCTGGTTTAGTGATGTGTACCGGGGGGCGCTCCCCCGTCCCAATCCACTAACCGGAAATGCCGCCACCCGAAAAACACCAGCTACGGCAGACCTGGTTTAGCGATTCCAATCCATATTCTGGACTTCGGGGACCAATCGCTAACCGGCTCCCCTTGACCGGGGTCCTGACGCTGCTCGCGGAGGAGAAGGAGGGCGAACAATAACATGTTTTGTGTCGTGTCTAGTGGGCTACTGGCTCCCAGGAGCCCAACAGACACGAAAGACCATCATAAGATGATATGGAAAGAACTGGCCATGCAAGAATTGGGGTCGCCACCCCCCCGGCCAACCTCGGCCAACACTCCTGAGCGACGCCGAGCGTGCTGGAAGCGAGCGGGCACGTTCGAACTGAGCTTTCTGGTATCAGCGGGACCCAGAGCTGTAATATGGGCCCGGCAAACCTTCCCAACAAACCCCAGAAGGATCCAGCCAAGCTTTCGGCCAACCCCCTTTGGCAAACCCTGGTTGCACAAACTCTTGCCGTCAGTCATCATACCCAAGCAATGCACCCCGGTAACAGCAAAGGTGAAGAGGCGGGGCGAGGAGTAGGAGGTCAGCTAGTGAAAACGTGCTGGGACAACAGAGAGAGAAAGAGAGAGAGAGAGAGCACGGCCACATGTAGAGTAGGCTGTTCTTTACAAGGGATCGTGACCGTCTGGACCTACAGCGAAGCCAGCTTTGAGGCGAGAACGCGATGCTTTCGTCCTCCTCCTGCTCCTCCTCCACCTCCTCCTGCCCCTCCCCCTCCCCCTGATCCTCCTCCTCCTCCTCCTCCTCCTCCTCCTCCTCCTCCTCCTCGTATACACATCTTGTAGTATATCGTTTCTCGAGCGGTGTGGCCAGAAAGCGCCCGCCACGACGCATATACTATAAGATTTCTCGGTGCGCGCGTCGCCCCTGGGGGGGCGACGAACACATAGTATAAGTATGTTGGGGGGACCGATGAAACGCGATGAGGGCAAAACATCTGGATCCGAGGAGGAAGAAGAGCAGCAGGCGGAGGACTGGGCAGGGAGGAGGAGGAGGAGGGCGGAATGGCTGGGAACGAGGGTGGCGCCGACGATGGACCGAAGGCCGTGCAACATGGACCTCCCGTCCCCTGGCACGCGCCCCGTGAACCGGGCCGTCGCATGCCGCAGACGCGGTGACTGTTGCATTGGAACCCATCGCTCCGAGAGCGGCGACCTGCAAGCACCACCGGGAGAGGGCATTCATTGCCTCGCCAGGCTCGATGCTGTTGTCGAGAGGGAGAAGGGGGACAAGCTGGAAGAGGGCAGTCAGTCACCGGACAAGCGTCCCAGGCGCCAGTGCGCATCGCGAGAAGAAGTCGAATCTGGATCTGAAGGCATACGAGCGCACACCCCTGCGGGTGCATCGAGCCCATTGGGCAGAGCCCCCCCTGTCGGACAAAATGCTTTCGTCGCTCCAGGTTCGATGTTACGCACAAGGGAGGGCGGCTCCTGGCAAAGCCCAAACGACCGGCGCACCCTGGACTGTAAAGAGAACGATCCGTCGAGGGTATCGCCACGCCTTGGCCGCTTCTTACCTTCGTAGCTAGACCCGACCCCCTCCTATCCATAATCATTCACCACCACCACCACCACCGCCATCATCATCACCATCATCACCACCATCATCCTCACCGAATCGAACCGAACAGCTCCACGGGAGGCGTCTGGGCGGGACTACAGAATCGCAGGGCCTCGGAGCATAGCGAACTGCGAGTTGGACGCGCTATATATATATATATATATATATATATACGAGACCGACCAGGCCCCTCGGGCGTAAGGACCATCATCTTCATCAACAGCATCAGCATCATCATCAGCAGCATCAGCATCAGCATCAGCATCAGCATCACCATCAGCATCATGCGCATCTTCCCCTGCAGCCCATCCCTCGTCCCCCAGCCGCGCCCTCCCTGGCTCCCTCCCCCTCCGGCCTGCCGCCTCCCCGCCCCCACAGGGGCCCCCCGGGGCATCTCCTGTGGATGTAGTCCTCCAGCGTCTTCGGCACGTCGTAGTTCACGACGTACCTGACGTCCTTGATGTCAAGGCCGCGCTGGGCCACGTCCGTGGCTATCAGGATGTTGGTCCGGCCGGACTGCGGCAGGGCGGGGGGCCGGCCCGCGGCGTGGCACTCGGTGCACAGCGCCCCCCTCCGCCTCTTCATGATCATCCTCCTCCTCCTCCCGAGCCGACTCCTCCATCCTCCCTCCACCCCGCCTGCGTCGGTCTGGGGCAGTCCTCTGGCAAGTCCCTCCCTCCTCCTGCCGCTTCGTCCCTCCGCTCTGCTCCCTCCCTCTTCCACCGCCCCCTGCCCCTCCTCTCCCTCCTCCCTACTCCCTCCCGCCCCTCCTCCTCCTCCTCCTCCTCCTCCTCCTGCTCCTCGTCCTCCCTCGGCGGAGGGGAGGAGGGAGAGCAGGAGGAGGAGGGAAGAGGCTCATCCTTCCTGCTCCTGTTCGGCCCTCTTCGCCCCTGCCCTCTGCTTCCCTCCTGCTACCTCCTCCGACTCGAGCGGCTTCGCGGTCCTTGAACTCGCCCAGCGTGCGGTCCCGAGTCCTCTGGTCCTCGCCGCGCGGACGTTGCGTGTCCAATTCGGTCAACAATCGCCAGGCCGACGCTCTGAGCCATGAATGCAGATGCGCAGTCGTTCCATGAGGGAATATGACGAAAGACACTTGTTTGCTAAATGCAGCAATTCAACATCTCATGCTGCCCAGATGCCCTGGCAATTCGAGCAAAGCCTCCGCCGTCATCGCACAAGTCTGATACTCCCTAATCGCAACCTGGATCAGTGTCAAGAATGCGTGCCATCGGGATCCAGCATCGCACTCCGTGTTGTTCCCCTCATTGGTCGGGACCAATCTTGCGCGCCCAAATGCAGTGTGGACACCGCCTGGTTATCGGAAAGGCAGCACCACCAGAAGCAGCGCGAGGCGCGAGAGAGGATCATGCTGGTGGTGTGCACCCCCCCCACACCCCCTCTCGCTCGTGACGCCCCGCATCCCCCGAGCTCGGAGAGGTATCGAGGACCCCCCTGGCTGGAAGTGCACCTCCCCCCCCTGCTGGTGATGTCGCCTCTCCTTCCGCCGAAACATCTTCCGCACTCATCGACACACCCACCCATCCATACTTAGGTCGGGCTTGCCCCCCTACAGGCGGAGGATTCTGATGAAAATTTGAACGTAGTCGAACATATTCCAAAATGGTCGAACAATAATGGAAACATCGACCCCGACTATTTTCCGAGTGTTCTCTGATATTCTTCCTGTAGAGGAACATGCCCAACTTATCGACACCCGAAGCAACTGGGTTGCGCTGCCTTGTCGCCGTGTATCGCCGCGGCCGACAGCTGCTGGTACTGCAGCTCTCTGCAGAGCGAGTCGGCGCCCCTCTTGGTCTCTGTGAAGACCAGTACCCTGTTGTCGCCACCTCGGAGGGGCGAGGATCAGGGAGCTGGGGGACGCTGGGCACCCATGGAACGGATGCGCCAATACTGCCCACATCCTTCGCGCCCGCACGTCGCTGCACGAGCACGACCAACGCCCGCGGCGCCCCCGCGGGGGGGGGGGCTCTGGAAGTCTGCGGGCCCTGCTCGTCGCTGCCCGTCGGTGCGGCCGCGAAATCGCACGCCGGGGGGGGAAGTGCTGACAGGGCCCCTGCCGCGGCGAGGTGCCGGCCTGGCCCACCCCCACCCCCCCGGGCAGAGCTCCAACGGCCCCCACCCCCCCGCCCAGCTCGGGCGAGGCGGCAGGGCCCGGCAGGGCTCCGGGCAACGGGGGGGGGGGCGGGAGGAGGCGAGACGTGGCACGGGCAGGGCGGGAAGGGGCAGCGCGAGGCAGGGCGGGGCAGGGGTTTCAGCGCACGGGCCGCGCGTGCCTCGGCGCTTCCACTCACGGCCTGCACGCGCAGGATCCCAGACCTCCTCGAGTCATGAAAAAATCACGACGGGAGGTTTTTCTCTATTTTCGGCCTCTGGGGACCCTTACCGGCCCTCAGGACCGTCAAAAAAGACTCTGGATGAAAAGCCGGTCCCGGGGAATGGGTCCGGATCTCTGGGGGTCGCGTCATGAAAAAATCATGACGTCGGGGGTCTGGGATGCTGTTGGACCTGGCCCTGTGCCCACCTGCTCTCTCCTGCCGTACGCCGGGCCCTCTCTCCCACCACCGGATCGGCGGCGAGGGAGGGGGGGAAGTGAGGAGGGGCGGGCCTTCTCAGAAGGCTCGGCAGACCCCGGGCCTTCCGAGAAGTTTCGTAAGCCTCCCCCGAGGGCACAGAAAACTCCCCAGAAGGCGCGAGGGCTTCTGAGAAGCCCCGCCGCCTTCTGAGGGGGCCTTCTCCTTCTCACTCCCCCCCTCGCTCACCGCCGAATGGAATCATCCTTCCTCCCTGTTTTCCCGTTTCTTCCAAACCTTCCCACCCACATTCGATCGTCGTCCTCCCTCCCAGCTCGTCCTTCCAGCACTTAGTGGCCCTGTAAACGACAGGGCAGTTTTCACGGGTTCCGTTCTGCAGTTTTTTTACCAGCTCCGTCGCCGTTGTTGTTACAAAGTTCGGCTCCGGTTCCAACCCTGGAGCCGTTTTTTTGGTGTTTCCAGTCGCCGATTTTGCCGCTTCCATGTGCAAGAGATATTTTCGGAACCAGTGAAAAAAATGCCCTGCCGTTTCCGGGGCCAATTCAGTTCCAGCATTCCTTACCCCTTCCCGCCCTCTCCCCCAGTCCTCCATCCCCCCTCGGCCTCCACATGCCACGCCCCTGCCCCCCATCCTGTCTGTTCATACTTTACACATAGGATTCAGTTCTTGCCGTGCCCCGCTATACCCCACACCAGTTGCTGTTGAACTTCCACCTCGAAAGAGCAATGTGTCGATCCTCCCCTGCGCGGTGAAATATATGCTCGCTCCATTGAAATGCCCCTCCCCGGGCTCGCACCCTGCTTTTTTACATGGGAAGTGCTGGGGCCTCAGACCGTGTTGTTGGCCCCTGGTTTACCACGTGAGCTTTTTTTTATTCGGCGTTTCGACATTAGGCGGAGGGGGGGGGGGTTCTGGCTCCAGACCTCTGCTTCGTGTGACTGTCTGCAGCAGAGCGTCCTATGGCGGAGACTCCACCTCCTCGAGGACAGGCGCCAAAAACAGCCAAGACCTAACTCCATAGTGGGGGGTGGAAGGGGGGGGGCGAGGGCCCGCGCCGATCGGCAAAACACTGAATAAGAAAACGATCACCACTACAGCGGCTCCTGCCTGATACATCCTCAAATTGTTTTGGATCATCCAGCTTTCGCGCTTTCGCCTAATATATCCTTACAATGTATGAGCGAGTCGCCCTCCCGGCTCTCTGGAATCGCGATCCCACGCGGGACGTCCTCACAATGTACTCAGGCATCGCGCTCTCGCCTGACACTTCCTTGCCATGTGCTCTTGCTAGCCCGTCTTACTAACGCCCTCTCGTCCTCCATCTTCTCCCTCCTTCCCTCTTGCCCCCTTCCCTCCTCCATCCCTTCCTCCACTACCTTCCTCCCCGCTCCCTCCCGGTTTCCATTGTTTCAATTGTTCCATTTTTAGAGTTTGCACAAATTGCGCGCGGCGCGGAGGTAAGGTATACCCCCGACGTGAAGCGCGATTGAAGACGTAGAGGGCGGGTATAGAGTCTGGGAGATGCATGTTGACTGACTCGCGATGAAAGGGGCCAATCTTGAAAAACATGTTGTTTTCACGCGGGGCTTCCTTGCATGTTTGTTTCCCTGTTCTCGCTCGGTCCTCCCGGAGCTTCCCTGTTCTCGCTCGGTCCTCCGGGAGCTCGCACCCTGCTTATTACACGGGGAAGTCTTGAGCCTCAGACTGTGCTGTTGGGCCCCGGTCCACACCAACAGCGATTTCAGCCTGACGCGTCGTCACTCGGGGATGGACAGACCTCACTTTAGTAAAACGTGGTTTAGTGAAAACGACCTCGGGCCCAAACCTGGCGGGCGCAAGCCTGGAAAATAACGGCCGCGGCGCCCTCTCGAGAACCGAAAACGGACAATTCACTAATCGACGTGTCAGGGTAGGAGGTCTGTCCACCCCCGAGTCACAATTTACCCAAACTCAGGCTCTCGCGCGGGACGTCCTCGTCCCCTCCCACTTTGTCGAGGCACCACGCCCTTGACACCTCAGGGATCACGCTCTCGCTCCGAACTCTCTCACGGCTTACTTGGAGGTCACGCCATTGCTCCAGACTTCCTCGCGACTCATGTTGGACTGACGCTTCAGCGACCCGCCCGCTCGACCCAGCCGTCTGGGCCCGCCCGCCCGACCCGCTCATCAGGGTCCGCCCGCCAGACCCGCCCATCTGCCTCGGTCGTTTGTTCTCCGGCTCCGAACCCGCCCATCTCCTACTAATCTCTCTCGGGCTCCACTCTCCTCCCTCCCACTTGTGTCTTCCCTCCTCCCTCCCTTTCCTTGTTTTAGGGGCTGAACTTCAACTTCGGCACCGTCTGGTCCCAGGGCTTCGCCCTCTCTCGGCCCTGACGTGAGGCCCCGCCTTCTCTTGCCCTCCCTCCCTAATTTATGCTGTGCGCGGCCCGCTTAGCATCTATCGGAAGATGTTCGCTCTCGCCCCGCAGATCCAAAACAAGTTTTAGGGGCTGCGCCAACTACGCAAGGCAAGATATACCCCCAAGTGGGGCACGATCGAAGACGAAGAGGGCGGGTATCGAATGATACGCCTCGCTCGGTTCTCTCTGGCGAACAGTGGGACCTGCGCCGGGGTGCGGGGAAGTGGGCCCGAACCTGGGGACAGGCAGGAGGCGGAGGAGCAGCAGCAGCAGCAGGACGAGGGACGACGGGTGCAAGTGCGCCTGCTGGCGTGGCATGTCAGAGATTGGACGGGGCAACCTAGTATGCGCTGGCCCAAACGCGGGCCAACGCTAGTGCGGCGGCTGGAAGAGTCGCTCGCCCTGCAAGGTGCAAGGTGGTGTCGGAGAGGGTTGTAGGCACGGTAGCGCGTGGCCAGCCGGGCCATGGTGCGTGGCACATTGATCTCTGTTGTCTCGTTGTGCGCCAAAGCGGTCGGGCCACCCCGTGCCGCCGAGGCCGAGGCGACGGAGCACACAGCCGCGTGCAAGGGCAAGCGTGGGGACGCACGCGATCCACCACGATCCGAGGCAGCCGCGGAAACTGTGGCTGATTCCGTCGGCCTCGCCTTCGCACGCCCCTTTGTAGCCTAACCGGCGCTGAGCGACGTGCGTCTGGTAGGAGGTCGGCCGCTTTCTCGGCAATGCTCGCCAGGCTGCCCGGCGAGTGCCGGGGGCTGCGCAGGCCAGGTGGTGTCGGAGCATCCTCCATCGTCGATTGAGGTCCCTCGGGGTGGATTGCTGCGGCCACTGTGGAGACCGAAAAGTACCGATACCGCTGCTCCCCAGACCTCTCCCGGGTCAAGTTCTGACCAAGATTTCGAAGCGAATCCAGCGGTGGCGACGAGGGCCTCCCAGGAGGCCCAAAAAGGGGAAAACGGGTGGAAGGGTAGAGGTATTGACTACCTACCAGACCACCCCAACCCGAAGACCCGAATTTGAGCCGAATTTCGGGTTGGGGGGGGGGTACGGGTTCCATGTGTTTTTCAATGTTCCCCGACCCCCCCCCCACTGGAAATCGAGGATGAATTCGGGCCTTCGGGTTGGGTTGGGATGGTTTGGTGGGTGGTGAGGTATGGGTACCGTTCTCTCCTCAGAGCCATCGAGCGCTTAGGGGGCGTGAGATGGTTTTGGTGGCATGTTCCCGGGTGTCTGCGCTTGGTGGCCCTGCACGCGGCGCGCACGGCGGTCCGCGGAGGCAGCCATGTGGACCTCCTCCGTGACCGCCGCGCTGCCTGCAGCTGGGGCCTGCCGCCGCCGTCGGCGAACCCGCTCGCTGGGCGCGCAAATCATCGCCGCGGTCACTGCGAGCGAAAGCTGGGAGCGCCGTAATCGCGCGCCGGGACACCTATGCTCAGCAGGTCACCGAAAGCGAAACTCTTGGGCGGCACCTTCAAGACGGCGTGGAACAGGTCGAGTTCGCCACTGATCATAAGACCAGTGAACATCAAGAGCTGGGCGAAATACGGGACGACCAGCAACGTCGCGGACTTACCTGCTGCTATCTGGTGCAGCTGCTGGGGGAGCCCGCATCGTGTTCACCCGCTGCGGGTATTCGTTCGAAGCCGCCTGCAAGCTTTCCAGAAAGGCCGCGCCGGGGCCTATCATGAAACCGAACTGTTCCGTGCTCGTGGCGGTGTTGAAGTCGGCCCACAACGGCACGAAGGCGGCGAGCGCGCGCCTGATTTCCGCCATCGCCGCGCCGAGCCTGACATGGGAGGGGGGGCGCAGGGGTACCACGACGCACGCCTTCGGCTGCAGGCGCATGGCAGCAAGGCCCTGCATGGCGACAAAGTGCGGCGCCAAAGGGATGACCG